CCGAGCGCTTGCAGACCAAGCTTCATTATTTCATTAAAATTTCTCTATCCAGGGTGCTCGGAGGCCAAGACGTGCAAGGATACCAAGTTTGGCTGCTGCCCTGACGAGGTATCCCCCGCCGAGGGTCCGGACAACGACGGCTGCCCCGACTCCCAGTGCGCGGAGAGCCTCTTTGGCTGCTGCCAGGACAAGACGAGCTATGCGACGGGCAACAACTTTGAAGGCTGCCCGGAGCCGGAGACATTGCCCTTCGACTGCAAGAGGACTCAGTGAGTACTTGATATGGAGTGCCAGTGCCTGCGTCGGTGTCTTAGGCTCAACCCTCTCTTAACCTACCCCATACATTTCAGGTTCGGCTGCTGCCCAGACGGCGTGATGGCGGCGTCAGGCAAGAAGTACCAGGGCTGCTTCGAGTGCGAAGGGTCGGGCGAGTGCAATTCGTGCAAGGACACCAAGTACGGATGCTGCCCGGCAAGCGAGCGCGCGGCCACGGGACCCTTCTTCCAGGGCTGCGAGGGACTCTGCCTGAAGACCAAGTACGGCTGCTGCCCGGACAACAAGACGCCGGCCAAGGGCAAGAAGAACAAGGGATGCCCCAAGGCTGCCTGCCTCAAGGAGAAGAACGGCTGCTGCGCGGACGGCGTCACGCCCGCTCACGGCCCGGACCAGCTGGGCTGCTGCGTCAACACCGAATTCGGCTGCTGCCCAGACAACATGACTCCGGCAAAGGGGCCCAACAACGACGGTACGGGCCAAGCTGGTCTGCGCTGCTGCCGCGGCAGTGAGGGTAAGACAGCGGGACTCATCCATTCGTCTGTTACAGGCTGCACGTGCGAGAACACCAAGTGGGGATGCTGCCCGGACAACTACACCATCGCGACGGGCAAGAACAACTCGGGCTGCGGCTGCCACTACACGGAGCACGGCTGCTGCCCGGACGGCATCACGGCGTCGCCCAAGCCGGGCTACGAGGGCTGCGCCTGCTGGACCTACCAGTTCGGCTGCTGCCCGGACGGCGAGACGACGGCGAAGGGCCCCAACGAGCAGGGCTGCGGCTGCCAGCAGACCGAGTTCGGCTGCTGCGAGGACGGCACCACCCCGGCCAAGGGCCCCGCCAGGGGCGAGGGCTGCGACTGCACCTCCACGCGCTTCGGCTGCTGCCCCGACGGCAACTCCACCGCGCAGGGCCCGAGGTTCGAAGGTTGCGCCGACAAGCCGTTCAACCCCACAGGTGAGGCGACGGCTCTGCGACTCCCTCACTACTGTACTGCGTGTCCGTTGCGACTCCCCCCCTTTCTTACCTCATGTTCCCGTTGCAGAGGCGTGCGTGTTGGACAAGGACAGAGGCAGCTGTCGCAACTTCACGGTGCGGTGGTTCTTCGACAAGGAGTACGGTGGCTGCACGCGCTTCTGGTACGGCGGCTGCGAGGGCAACGCCAATCGCTTCCGGACGCAGGAGGAGTGCAAGGGCGTGTGCGTGGAGCCCAAGGGCAAAGGTGAGGCCTGCCGTGCTACTATCGGCTCGACATGCGCTCCGGGTCCTGGCGACGAGTCTGACCGCCCGACCTCTCCTTGCCCTACAGATGTGTGCAACCTGCCCAAAATCGAGGGCCCCTGCGAGGGCTACTACCCCACCTGGTACCACGACGCGGAGCGCGGCCAGTGCGGCCAGTTCATCTACGGCGGCTGCCTGGGCAACAACAACCGCTTCAAGTCCCGCGAGGAGTGCAGCAGCTTGTGCGCGTCGGAGACTCTGGGTGAGCAGCGCCGCGCCGCGGAGTGAGTGAGGGCTGTTGTGGTGGTTGTCTCGCCCTGGTGTCTCACCCCGCCCCCTTTGCAGACGCCTGCGCCGCCCCGGTGGAACCCGGCCCGTGCAACGGATCCTTCCCACGCTGGGCCTTCGACAAGGACACCAGGACCTGCCGACAGTTCTCGTACGGTGGATGCAAGGGCAACAAGAACTCCTTCAGCACAGAGGCAGCCTGCCTGTACAAGTGCAACAAGCCCGGCGAAAGCCGAAGTAAGTAATCAAATTTTATAATATATCTTTTGCTTGTGACTGAGTGAATGTGAGTGTGAGAGGGGGGGGGGCGACATCGGCCTGGCCGGGATCCGAATCCAGACCTTGTTGTTGGACGGAGCGCCGGCGCTGCCACAACTTCCAGTATGGCGGCTGCGGCGGCAACGACAACAGGTCCCTCTCCGCGGCCCTGGCGCCACCGGGCCAAGAACGCGCTCGCCGCGCTAGGTAGCCTGCGCCTGGAGCAGGGCTCCGAAATGCATCATCACTTAACCACCTGTAACGTTACTTTAGGAGTTAAAGTTAAAACTTGTAACTTTTACTGTAGTCCTTTGTAAATAAGTTAGTTATTCGACTTGTTCAATTTTTTTATTTACACAGTATGTACGATTCAGATTTATATCTGACATATTTCAGAATCGATAACTTTAACTATTAATTTCAGTTGTTTTTTGTTTTTTTTTGCGTTGAGTAAATAACATTCGTTCTTGTATGGTAAGTTACGGAGCCCTGCTGGGGAGGTGGCGGGGCGCGCTGGTGAAGGCGTATGGGGACCGCTTGGCATGCGAAACCGTTTCTTTCAGGATCTTGTCTCTTCAGTTCTAATCCAATTCTAATAATAACATTAACTAACCGAAATGAAACCCCCTATATTCTGGACCTTGGCCGCTACTAACACTAACCCGTTGTGCATGGGGAGCAGGCGTTTGCCCGCTGCCGAAAGAGGTCGGCGACTGCTCCGAGAAGCTCGCTCGCTGGGCTTTCGACGCGACGGAGAACCGCTGCGTGCCGTTCTACCACACGGGCTGCGGAGGCAACGGCAACACCTTCGCGACGCGCGAGGCGTGCGAGACGGACTGCCCGAAGCGTGTGGGTAAGTGCGAGAGAGAGAGAAAGGAGAGGCGGCGGCGCCAGCGAGCCGCTCCCGCGAGAGCCGAGCGCCTGCGGTGCCGAGGATACGCCGGCCGCCCAGCTCCTCTGCGGAGCCGGCGGCCTACCCGGCGCCCCCGGCAACGCGCTCTCCGCAACACGGAGGGAGGTGGAGTGAACCAGTCCTGCCCACAACTCGTCCGGGTAGCTTCTCTACTAACTAACTCCACTAACTCGTTTAAACCAATGGCATGGGTAGATTGACTATTTTATTCATAGTTATTTGTTGGATTATGCAACGATTATTTCCGACTTTTCCACCAGCGGTGTAGGGCGTTTCTACATCTCTCTCTATCTCTATCTCCCCCTCGCAGCCCAGGACGTGTGCCTGCAGCCCGCGCTCACGGGCGAGTGCCACAACTACACGGAGCGCTGGTACTACGACGCGCTGGAGGGCCACTGCAAGCAGTTCTACTACGGCAACTGCGGCGGCAACCACAACAACTTCCGTTCGCGCGAGGCGTGCCAGCAGCGCTGCGAGCGCGGCGGCCAGCCGGCGGAGCCCCCGCGGCCCCCGCGGCCGGACTACGACCAGCGGCCCCCGCAGCCCCCGCAGCAGCCGCAGCAGCCCGAGGCCCCGCAGCTCACCGCCAGGGGTGAGTAGCAGATGGCGAGTGATAGCGTGAGGCGGCGTGGCGCGCATGCGATAGAGAGGCGGCTCGTATTATATACGCGATCGGTCGGTGGTAAAAAGAAATGAGGCGTGGTGTATTCAAAAACCCGAATCGCGTCGGGGCATCTGTCTCGCCGCTGCTGCCGCTGCTCCACGGCTGCGGACTCGAGGGAGACCGTTACACCAGGTGTGACACGTGGGCGGGACGGTTTCTGTTTGCGAGTGCCTTATGCTCGACTTACCAAGGGCACCTCATTTGGCCCGCCCTGGCCCACTCCGCGCCCCACTTCGGAGGCGGTTGGCTGCATTATAGTTTCTTCTATTCAATAGATAATGATAGATGATAATAATAATAATGAAATCTTACAAAGTTCTGCGGCGGGTGCTGCCCTTGGCGGGCTGGGGCGGGGCGCGGGGACCGCCACAAAGCGCCACGGGGTGGTGCGCAGCCTCCTTCCATGAACTCGCCGATCTTATTTGCAGACAAGTATAGTGAAAATAGACGCGTGTGGGAATGGGGCGGAGAGCGCGGCTTCACACGCGCACCTGGGCACGCGCTCCGCGGGGGCGCCGATCGATACTGATGCAATTAGTGCTGCTGGTGTGCGATCCGCCCTACTGGTAATTAGCATGCTCGCTTATTTTTAGGAGTTCCACAGCGGCGACAACACACTTCTGCGTCACGACGTTAGATTAGATTAGATTTGTCCGAAATCGCCTGAACTTTCCATGGTGGTGGACCCATCAGTTCGCGGGGAGGGCGGTGATTCGTCCCGCTTTGTGAATAAGAGGTTTCTTCGGTTAACACGGCACAATAAAGCAAATCGGATGATTGCAACACAGTTCATAAGGCTCATGAGGGTGAACGCAACTTGTCCATTATGGGCAATAATTTGACTGCGATGTATATTTGAAGGGCTCTATAAAAGGGATGTCGAACGCTCTGCCCACTAGACATCTGCTTCATGCCGGAGGATCCTGGACGCTGCGGCGAGTCCCTGCCCCGCTGGCGGTACGACCGGCGCGACGGTGTGTGTCGGCAGTTCGTCTACAGCGGCTGTGAGGGCAACCGGAACAACTTCGAGCGGCGCGAGGACTGCGAGAACACCTGCGCCAACGCCCAGGGTGAGTAGTAGGTCGCATACAGGGTGGGATCTCGCCTCCTTTCGCGCAGAGTCCTTAACGCCCCTTCCCGACGTGTCGCAGACCCGTGCGAGCTGCCCAAGATGGAGGGCCCGTGCCGCGCGGCCCACGCGCACTTCTACTACAACGCGCGCACGGACGAGTGCGAGGAGTTCATGTACGGGGGCTGCCAAGGCAACGCCAACCGCTTCGTCGAGAGGTGAGTGCTGGTCAGGCCGGCCTCCGGGCCGCCCGAGTAGTCCATAGCGGGCAGCAGTGTCTGACGGCCTCCGTGTCCACAGGCAGGAGTGCGAGCAGCGCTGCGTGCGCGACCCCAACCGCGTGCCCAGCCTCAACGCCCGCGGCCGGCTCGGACCAGAGTCGCCGCAGGCCGAGTCGTGCGCGGTGCGCGTCGACCCGGGCCCCTGCGAGAACTACACCATCCAGTACTACTTCGACGACCGGTCCAACTCGTGCCAGCCCTTCCAGTACGGCGGCTGCGGCGGCAGCGCCAACCGCTACAACTCGGAGGAGCAGTGCGAGCGCGTGTGCGGCACGCTGCGCGGCCAGGACGTGTGCAGCCTGCCCTACGAGGCGGGCCCGTGCCGCGGCTCCAAGGCCAAGTGGTTCTTCGACGCGGGCGTCGGCATCTGCCGCGAGTTCATCTACGGCGGCTGCCGCGGCAACGGCAACCGCTTCTCGTCCAGCGAGGAGTGCTCGTCGCTGTGCCTGCAAAAGACCGAGCTGCCCGTCCAGGGCGGCGTCGACGCCCAGCGACCGCCGCCGCGGCAGCGGCCCGGGGACGAGAGCGCCAACGCCATTGACACGGCGCAGTGCGAGGCGGCGCGGCGCGAGTGCGCGGAGCAGCGCTGCCCGTACGGCGTGGCGCGCCTCGTGGACGCCTCGGGCTGCGAGCGCTGCACCTGCTACAACCCCTGCCAGGACATGCGCTGCCCGCCCGACCAGCAGTGCGGCATCGAGCTGGTGCGCTCCAGGGACCCCGCGGAGCCCACGCAGTTCAGGGCCGTCTGCCGACTGAGTAAGTGACACCACCCAACCCCGGCTCAAACGATGAGTGACAACGCAGTGACAACGACTCTGTTTGCAGTCAACAAGCCCGGCGAGTGCCCCGCCACCACGACCAACTCGTGCAGCACGGACTGCTACTCGGACGCGGACTGTTCGGACGAGGCCAAGTGCTGCTACAACGGGTGCGGCCAGTCCTGCGTCCACCCTGCGACCGACTCGGCGCCGCCCACGACGGCCGCGCCGCCACCGCCGTATCGGCCGTACGATGGTGAGTGCCCGCCGTCGTCTGTCCTAGCCCGTTGCCGCCGGTCCGACTCATCCACAATCACCCGTTCTTGCATTCTTGCAGAGGTTCCGCAGGCCCCGCAGCTGAAGGTCGAGGAGCCGCAAGTGACAGCTTCGGAGGGAGGCTTCGCGACCCTGCGCTGCATCGCCACGGGCTACCCGTACCCCACCGTCACCTGGAGGAAGGACTCGGTCACGGTAAGCCGGGCGGCGTCGGGTCAGACGGGTGGGCGTCGCGGGGGGCGTTGCTTAGATACCCGTTGTTTCTCAGATCGACGGCGCTGGCGGCCGGCACAAGATCATGACGGACGGCAGCCTGCAGATCATCGGGCTGGTGCGCACCGACTCGGGCATCTACCTCTGCATCGCGGACAACGGCATCGGACCCACCATCACCAAGGAGTTCCGCCTGGACGTCACGGGTGAGTAGGAAGCAGCACGACGCTGTTGGTGCCTCGTGGAAGCCAAGCTCGGCATGGTAATGCCCTCTAAGGTTTGAGTGCAGAGTGGCGCTTGTTGATTTGATTCGGGCTTATTAATCTGTTTTTTTTTCAATGCTGGCGCCTGAGCGCTGTGTGTGTGTGTGGGTGATTTACGGCTTTAATAATCTTACAATTAACCAACGCTAATGGTGAAGGCTTTTGCGACCGCGGTTTCGAAATAAACTCTAGTCTATCATTTCCTGACGACCGTTTCGACGTATCGGTTGCCATTTTATTGGGAACTTCGAAGCGTCGTTAGGCGAGCGTTGCCTCTGCGTTGCCCGCCCCGCGCATGCCCATCCCCCGGCCGGGCCGCACGCGTCGGGACAGTAGCACTCGATGCGACTAACCCATTCGCTGACCTCCCTTTCCGAAGAACCTTGGAACGCTCGGAGCGAGCGAGCCTCAGAAATAACCCGTGGGAGATCGATAAATACGCGGCAAAGACGCTACTGCATACTGCAGTGTGGTCGGGGGACGACGAGGACGAGCATGCGAGAGGTAAGCAGGCACGTGAATTACATTTCAAGCGGGCCACCTGGAAGACATCCAATTCGCTCTACAGACCGCTTGTGTGTAAGCAACACACTGTACCCCACAAGTAAATGGGTTAAAGGCGGGCACAGATGTTCGCAAAAGCGTGAACAGCGCGAGACCGCGCAAAAGCCTCCACCGCAGTAACAAGACTGAGCTTTTTCCATAACATCTAACCGGTAGCGGTAGCCGCCACTAACCCATACTAACTAACCCCTCGCCCCGCGGCGCGCAGACCCCGTGGAGCAGGAGGCGCAGGTGATCGGCGACCTGAACGCGGAGGTGATCGCCACCCTGGGCGAGGCGGCGGCGCTGCAGTGCTACGCCTACGGCTACCCCAAGCCCTACATCACGTGGTGGCGCGGCGATCGCATGCTGCCGCTCAGCTCCGAGCAGTACGAGCAGCGCCACGATCACTCGCTGCTCATCGGCAAGGTGGGCCTGCGCAACCTGGGGCCCTACACGTGCCAGGCGTACAACGGCAAGGGCAAGGCCAACTCGTGGACGGTGACGGTGAAGGCCGTGGGCCTGCCCACGTCGGCGAGCCCCGAGGACATCCAGTACCACCAGTACCTGCTGCCGCCCAACGCAGTGTCGCCCTCGCGGCCGCACGAGTACCCGGTCCCGGGCGCGCCGTCGTACACGCAGGCGCCGGACCTGCCCGGCCCGCCCGTCACCGAGGAGCCCAGGAAGTTCGTCGGTGAGTCGTCGCAGGCTGGCGTCGGTTAGCCGCACTGTGCGAAGGGAAGGGGGAGCCTTGGTAACATTTTGGTGCAGGCGATGGCTTTAATGTTGAACGCATTGCCTGATCACCGAAAACCTGTTATTACTCAAAGCGAAACACAGCTTTTCCCCAACCACGTGTTACCAACGCTCACCTCCGACTCAGCTGAGCACGAGCACCCTCATAGCCTAGAAAACAACTGGTAGGGCAGGATTAGGCTTTTAAAAAGTCTGGAGAGTAGCAACTTAATGAGTTAGATTTTTAGTTTTGCAGGTATTTCGCAACGGTAAGACGGCATAGTGTTTTGCATGGGTTTTGGGTTGGCATGAACTAAAGCTTATACGAATGTTAACGGCCGGTATGCTTCAAACGGGTGACGGTCTGGCTTGATTTACAAAGGGTATTGTGCATGAGGGGGGGAGTAATCCCTACTCGAAGTAGTAATTCTGACAATTTTAATGTTAATGTAAAAAGTGAGTTTGCTAACGACTAAAAATAAAAATTTACATATCTGGTCCGCGTGTTTACCCGATCTTTTGTTGATTGTTCCCGCAGCACCGGTACACACCAACATCTCCTCAACTCAGAGGCTGTTCCCCGTCGGCGGCGATGTATCCATCCCCTGCCAGGTTGAAGGGTACCCTATCCCCAGAGTATCGTGGTACAAGGACGGCGTCAGACTGGACCCTTCGGACACCGTCCGAATCTCCGGTAAGTACATGCCGGCAACTTAAAAATTCTTTCTTAAGGCATATTTTTACTCCTAATAATTATTTCTTTTATTTTTGTTGCAGAGGCAAATCGCCTGGAGATTCTCCGCGCCAACGAAAGCGACTCCGGGACGTACCGATGCGAGGCTGCGAACCAGTACACGTCGCACTGGTCTGAGGTGGCCATCACCGTCACAGGTGAGATCAAAACCGCGACTAGATCAGGCGCGGGCGCGGACGGTCTGCACGTGCTTGGGGATCGTCCAGAAAACACGTCCGTTTTCTCATATCCATTCGTCAAGTTACGCAAGCACGGCGCCTGCGAGACTCGGGGTAGGCCACCCCGCAGTACACGTATGCACCGAAGGAACGATGTTGCCTACCTATCAGGCGCTATTGCAGCTCGAATAGGCTGAACTTGGCAGTTTCGTAGCGCCAAAAATGATGGTCGTACTTTCTAGATGATCCCTTGTTCACTCCTCAAAAGCGTCCGGAAGTGCTGGGAAATGGACCGTATATATTTCACGAGCTTCGGCGCAATCGTGAGAATCTCCACTGATATTTAAACACGCCGAACGTGATAAGCCTCATTCATGCTCGTCTCTTTGCGTCGTTACGGTCCGACTTACGGAGCAGACGCGTGTAATTTAACATAATGGGGGAGGGAAGTCCCACATCTGGGCGGGTGCACTCTGCACTCTCATGACCAAATTGCGGTCGTGATGTGGAACCCTGACCGCCATCTGATCATGCCGGTCTGAACTTGTGAATGCTGTGTTCCCAGGCACGTACGTCCATCCCAACTGCACGGACAACCCCTTCTTCGCCAACTGCCAGCTGATCGTGCGCGCGCAGTACTGCACGCACCGCTACTACGCGCGCTTCTGCTGCCGCTCCTGCACCACGGCGGGACAGCTGCCCTCGCACGGGCCGCACCTGGACGACGCTGCGCAAGGTGAGTGGACCAACCGGCCATACCCTCCGACTTATGCCCATCCTTGCCCTAGTGTTCTCTAAACCGCCCTTTTTCTTTCAGCTGCCGCCGACCTGAGAGGACCCCCGAGAGGCAGGAGGCGACGCAGCCTGGCGCGACGCAGCCTGATGGCCCAGCTGGCCGTACTCAGGTCCCTCCCCTAGTCAAGGGGGCCACACATATGGACTGAAGATAGGAGCCTCTATGCGCTTTCTATTTAATTTTTCAGGGCTTAACGACCAGCGTTTATGTTCCTTCAGCAGTTTGGTACACAGACAAGTTGTATTGCATATTACCCAGTTACCTCAAGGTGCAGAGTTGTTTTGTTGTTTGTTGTTGTATTTTCTCTGTAATGCGAAACCTTATGTACAAATATCTTCTTGTGCGAAATGGAATTTGCAGTAGAAGGCCAATCTGTTGAAGATATAAATATTCTATTAGTGATTTTGAGAATCAAAACTCAACCAGAGAAAATATGTAAATTATTAATTAGATTAATTTATGGGGTTGTAGTAGACCATCAATTCGCCATATTCATCTCATTTTGTAGTAAATTATAAGGTGTC